ATTTTTGCATTAAAATGTATCATATGGCGGATTTAACGTAACGCGATGCCATCGTAAGGCGGGGGTCCACTGTACATGTATATATTTTTTTCAACAAACCGGCCATATCCCATCAAGGCAGGGTGACCCAAAAAGAAAAATGAAAGTTTCTCTTTTTGAATTCAGTAATTTATACAAGAGAAGGGGTTACTAGCCCCTTGCCCCCAGCATTTTAGTCGCCTCTTACAACACACATGGCTTACGGAGGAAGAATTCTGTTCCACTTCCCCATGGAGATAAGAGGAAATAAACAAAAACAAGAACTAGAAAGAAAATAGAAGAAAACCCAGAGGGGTGTGTATATATATGCTTGTACATGTATGTGTAGTGTGACCTAAGTGTAAGTAAAAGTAGCATGACGTACCTGAAGTCTTGCATGTTTATGAGACAGAAAAAAGGACACCAGCAATCCTACCATTATGTGAAGCAATTACAGGTTTTCGTTTTACACTTGCTTGGCAGGACGGTAGTACCTCCCTGGGCGGTTGCTGTTTACCAACCTACTACCTAGGATTTATATATATGGGATCATGACAGAAATGTTAAAAGCAGGGGGGGATATAGTGTTGGAGTGGTTGGTACTTTTGTTTAATAAATGTATGAAAGAGGGGAAGGTACCTAGGGATTGGCGGAGAGCATGTATAGTCCCTTTATATAAAGGGAAAGGGGACAAAAGAAATTGTAAAAATTATAGAGGAATAAGTTTACTGAGTATACCAGGAAAAGTATACGGTAGGGTTATAATTGAAAGAATTAGAGGTAAGACAGAATGTAGAATTGCGGACGAGCAAGGAGGTTTCAGAGTGGGTAGGGGATGTGTAGATCAAGTGTTTACATTGAAGCATATATGTGAACAGTATTTAGATAAAGGTAGGGAAGTTTTTATTGCATTTAATGGATTTAGAAAAGGCATATGATAGAGTGGATAGAGGAGCAATGTGGCAGATGTTGCAAGTATATGGAATAGGTGGTAAGTTACTAAATGCTGTAAAGAGCTTTTATGAGGATAGTGAGGCTCAGGTTAGGGTGTGTAGAAGAGAGGGAGAATACTTCCCGGTAAAAGTAGGTCTTAGACAGGGATGTGTAATGTCACCATGGTTGTTTAATATATTTATAGATGGGGTTGTAAAAGAAGTAAATGCTAGGGTGTTCGGGAGAGGGGTGGGATTAAATTTATGGGGAATCAAATTTAAAATGGGAATTGACACAGTTACTTTTTGCTGATGATACTGTGATTATGGAGAGATTCTAAAGAAAATTGCAAAGGTTAGTGGATGAGTTTGAGAATGTGTGTAAAGGTAGAAAGTTGAAGGTGAACATAGAAAAGAGTAAGGTGATGAGGGTATCAAATGATTTAGATAAAGAAAAATTGGATATCAAATTGGGGAGGAGGAGTATGGAAGAAGTGAATGTTTTCAGATACTTGGGAGTTGACGTGTCGGCGGATGGATTTATGAAGGATGAGGTTAATCATAGAATTGATGAGGGAAAAAAGGTGAGTGGTGCGTTGAGGTATATGTGGAGTCAAAAAACGTTATCTATGGAGGCAAAGAAGGGAATGTATGAAAGTATAGTAATACCAACACGTTTATATGGGTGCGAAGCTTGGATTGTAAATGCAGCAGCGAGGAGACGGTTGGAGGCAGTGGAGATGTCCTGTTTAAGGGCAATGTGTGGTGTAAATATTATGCAGAAAATTCGGAGTGTGGAAATTAGGAGAAGGTGTGGAGTTAATAAAATATTAGTCAGAGGGCAGAAGAGGGGTTGTTGAGGTGGTTTGGTCATTTGGGAGAGAATGGATCAAAGTAGAATGACATGGAAAGCATTTTAAATCTATAGGGGAAGGAAGGCGGGGGGAGGGGTCGTCCTCGAGAGGGTTGGAGAGAGGGGGTTAAAGGAGGTTTTTTTGGGCGAGGGGCTTGGACTTCCCGCAAGCGGGGCGTGAGCGTGTTAGATAGGAGTGAATGGAGACGAATGGTACTTGGGACCTGACGATCTGTTGGGAGTGTGAGCAGGGTAATATTTTTGTGAAGGGATTCAGGGAAACCGGTTATTTTCATATAGTCGGACATTGAGTCCTGGAAATGGGAAGTACAATGCCTGCACTTTAAAGGAGGGGTTTTGGATATTGGCAGTTTGGGAGGGATATGTTGTGTATCTTTATATGTGTATGCTTCTAGCTGTTGTATTCTGAGCACCTCTGCAAAACAGTTTATAATGTGTGAGTGTGGTGAAAGTGTTGAATGATGATGAAAGTATTTTCTTTTTGAGGATTTTCTTTCTTTTTTGGGTCACCCTGCCTCGGTGGGAGACGGCCGACTTGTTTAAAAAAAAAAAAAAAAAAAAAAAAAAAAAATATATATATATATATATATATATATATTTTATATATATATATATATATATATATATATATACAGTGGACTCCCGCATAACGATTACCTCCGAATGCGACCAATTATGTAAGTGTATTTATGTGAGTGCGTTTGTACGTGTATGTTTGGGGGTCTGAAATGGACTAATCTACTTCACAGTATTTCTTATGGGAACAAATTCGGTCAGTACTGGCACCTGAACATACTTCTGGAGTGAAAAAATATCGTTAACCGGGGGTCCACTGTATATATACAGTGGACCCCCGCATAACGATTACCTCCGAATGCGACCAATTATGTAAGTGTATTTAAGTAAGTGCGTTTGTATGTGTATGTTTGGGGGTCTGAAATGGACTAATCTACTTCACAATATTTCTTATGGGAAAAAATTCGGTCAGTACTGGCACCTGAACATACTTCTGGAGTGAAAAAATATCGTTAACCGGGGGTCCACTGTATATTTTTTTTTTTTAACAAGTTGGCCGTCTCCCACTGGGGCAGGGTGACTCAAAAAAGAAAGAAAATTCCCAAAAAGAAAATACTTTCATCATCATTCAACACTTTCACCTCACTCACACATAATCACTGTTTTTGCAGAGGTGCTCAGAACACAACAGTTTAGAAGCATATACCTATAAAGATACACAACATATCCTTCCAAACTGCCAATATCCCAAACCCCTCCTTTAGAGTGCAGGCATTGTACTTCCCATTTCCAGGACTCAAGTTCGGCTATATAAAAATAACCGGTTTCCCTGAATCCCTTCACTAAATATTACCCTGCTCACACTCCAACAGATCGTCAGGTCCCAAATACCATTCGTCTCCGTTCACTCCTATCTAACATGCTGACGCACACTTGCTGGAAGTCCAGGCCCCTCACCCACAAAACCTCCTTTACCCCCTCCCTCCAACCTTTTCGAGGACGACCCCTACCCCGCCTTCCTTCCCCTACAGATTTATACGCTCTCCATGTCATTCTCCTTTGATCCATTCTCTAAATTACCAAACCACCTCAACAACCCCTCTTCAGCCCTCTGACTAATACTTTTATTAACTCCACACCTTCTCCTAATTTCCACACTCTGAATTTTCTACATAATATTTTCACCACACATTGCCCTTAGACAGGACATCTCCACTGCTTCCAACCGCCTCCTCGCTGCTGCATTCACAACCCAAGCTTCACACCCATATAAGAGTGTTGGTACTACTATACTTTCATACATTCCCTTCTTTGCCTCCATAGATAACGTTTTTTGTCTCCAAATTTGCCTCAACGCACAGCTCACCTTTTTTCCCTCATCAGTTTTATGATTAACCTCATCCTTCATAAATCCATCCGCCAACACATCAACTCCCAAGTATCTGAAAACATTCACTTCTTCCATACTCCTCCTCCCCAATTTGATATCCAATTTTTCTTTATCTTAAGCATTTGATACTCTCATCACCTTACTCTTTTCTATGTTCACTTTCAACTTTCTACCTTTACACACACTCCCAAACTCATCCACTAACCTTTGCAATTTTTCTTTAGAATGTCCCATGAGCACAGTATCATCAGCAAAAAGTAACTGTGTCAATTCCCATTTTGTATTTGATTCCCCATAATTTAATCCCACCCCTCTCCCAAACACCCTAGCATTTACTTCTTTTACAACCCCATCTATAAATATATTAAACAACCATGGTGACATTACACATCCCTGTCTAATACCTACTTTTCCTGGGAAGTAGTCTCCCTCTCTTCTACACACCCTACCCTGAGCCTCACTATCCTCATAAAAACTCTTTACAGCATTTAGTAACCAGCTGTATCCCACCAAGGTTGGATGGCCCAAAAGGAAAAACGAAAGTTTCTCCTTTCAAATTTAGTAATATATACAGGAGAAGGGGTTACTAGCCCCTTGCTCCCGGCATTTTAGTCTCCTCTTATGACATGCATGGCTTACGGAAGAAGAATTCTGTTCCATTTCCCCATGGAGATAAGAGGAAATGAACAAGAACTAGAAAGAAAATAGAAGAAAACCCAGAGGGGTACATCTTTCTTCTTTCTTTCAACAAACTGGCCGTATCCCACCGAGGCAGGGTGGCCCAAAAAGAAAAAGAAAAGTTTCTCTTTTTAAATTTAGTAATTTATAGAGGAGAAGGGATTACCAGCTCCTTGCTCCCGGCATTTTAGTCTCCACTTTCAAAACGCATGGCTTACGGAGGAAGAATTCTGTTCCACTTCCCCATGGAGATAACAGGAAATAAACAAGAACAAGAACTAGTAAAAAAATAGAAGAAAACCCAGAAGGGTGTGTGTATATATATGCTTGTACATGTATGTGTAGTGTGACCTAAGTGTAAGAAGAAGTAGCAAGACGTACCTGAAATCTTGCATGTTTATGAGACAGACAAAAAACACCAGCAATCCTAATGTCGTGTAAAACAATTACAGGCTTTTGTTTCACACTCACTTGGCAGGACGGTAGTACCTCCCTGGGTGGTTGCTGTCTACTGTTGTATATATATACATATACATATGTATATATATACAACTGTATGTTTTGTCTTTTGATTGAAGACAGTTGCTTACAGGTTCGAGCTCTTAATGAGAAGTTAATTGAAGCTGAACGTGAGAAGGGTGAGATAGACAGCCACACTAGAGAGCTGCACTCTGCTATCGAAAAGTAAGTAGTACCACGTATATCAGTGTTACTGAAAAATTGCATACAAAGTAACGAATTAAGCAGATAGTACATACCAGCTTCGGTTTAATTTGTATTAATTCAGTATTGTATGGTGTATGCTCTGACAGCATGATTTTTAGTACCACTGTTGTATATGTGCATTACTATTACAAGTATACAGGTATTTTACTTTATACAGCATATGTTAGTACAGTGGACTCGAATTTCAGCATCCCTTTTCTGTATGTAAAACTATAGTTATTCTCTATAAAATGTATTTTTTTTTTAATACAGTATTTCCCATAAGAAATAATGTAAATCCAATTAATCCATTCCAGACACCCAAAAATATTAACTAAAAATACATTTTATAGAGAATAACTATAGTTTTACAGAAATGGGATGATGAAATTCGAGGGTGCACTGCATTTATTATTTTTATTAACACATCGTCTGTCTCCCACCAAGGCAGGGCGGCCCATAAAAAGAAAAATTTTGTCATCGTTCACTCCATCACTGTCTTTCCAGAGGCATGCTTTCACTACAGTTATAAAACTGCAACATTAACACCCCTCCTTCAGAGTGCAGGCACTGTACTTCCCATCTCAAGGACTCAAGTCCGGCCTGCCGGTTTCCCTGAATCTCTTCATAAATGTTACCTTGCTCACACTCCAACAGCACATCAAGTCCTAAAAACCACTTGTCTCCATTTACTCCGATCTAACATACTCATGAATGCTTGCTGGAAGTCCAAGCCCCTCGCACACAAAACCTCCTTTACTCCCTCCCTCCAACCTTTCCTAGATCGACCCCTACCCTGCCTTCCCTCCACCATAGATTTATACACTCTTGATGTCATTCTATTTTATTCCTTCCTTTCTACATGTCCTACCCACCTCAACAACCCCTCCTCAGCCCTCTGGATAATAGCTTTGGTAATCCCACTCCTTCTCCTAATTTCTAAACTACGAATTCTCTGCATTATATTTACATCACACATTGCCCTCAGACAAGACATCTCCACTACGTCCAGCCTTCTTGTTGCACATTCACCAGCCATGCTTCACACCCATATAAGAGCGTTGGTATAACTACTCTCATACATTTCCCTCTTTTTTTGTCTCCACAGACTAATCAGTGCACTACTCACCTTTTTCCCCTCATCAATTCTATAATTCAGCTCATCTTTCATAGACCCATCTGCTGACACGTCCGCTCCTAAATCTCTGAATACAGTGGAACCTCAGTTTTTGTTTTTAATTCGTTCCAGAGAGTCTGACAAAAACCATATCCAATGTAAATTAAAGCAATATTTCCCATAAGAAATAATGTAAATCCAATTAATCCATTCCAGACGCTCAAAAATATTAAAAAAAAAAAATACATTTTATAGAGAATAACTATAGTTTTACATACAGAAAATAATGAGAAATAAATATAAAGCACTAATTTTAATGGATAAATGAACATTTAAATAAGTTTTATCTTTATTGAAGATTCTTGTTGGCGTATGGAAGATGGCAAGGAGATGAGAGGGAGGAGAATTTATTGTTTGGAAGGGGAATCCCCTTCCATAAAGACCTCAGGTATCAAGTCCCTACCCAGGGTTACTTCCCTTCTTTGTCTTTTACTGGCACTAGGACCAGCTTTAGAGTCACTGTACCCCTGTCGCACAAAAAAATCTATCCAAAGAGGTTTGTTTTTGGGATCTCTTAAAGATTTGCCTAAAATGGGACACGGCATTGTCATTGAACATGTTGCAGACACAGCTTGCAACTTCCCATACATCCTGGCGAGATCGACCACACGTGTGCCACTTTCGTACTTTTCTGCAAGTTCTTTCTTGAATTCTCTCATGTTTCTCACCTTCTTTATGAACTTTCTTTGGCCCCCATGGTGGCTTATTTAGCAGCCACACTCAATAAACAAGCACAAAAACAATTGATTATTACGAAATGTTTCATATGAACATGCAGGGTAATGTTCACTCGACAAGAAGCAAAGCCAGACCGACTCAGAATGCGTGCATTGGATGTTTTGTGTGGGTGCAGGTGCATGGACACGTTCAATACAGTGGACGAAAACCAAGATGACAAACGAAAACCGGGACAATATTTTGACCAAAAAGTCATTGAAAACCAGATTCAGCAAAAACCAGGACAAACAAAAACCAAGGTTCCACTGTACATTCACCTCCTCCACCTCCTCCATACTCTCTCCCTCCAGTCTGATATCTAATCTTTTGTTACCTAATTTTTTGTTATCCTCATCACTTTACACTTTCCTATATTCACTTTTAATTTTCTTCTTTTACATACCCTACCAAACTCATCCACCAACCTCTGCAGATTCTCTTCAAAATCTCCCAAAAGCACAGTGTCATCAGCAAAGAGCAACTGTGACAACTCCCACTTTGTGTTAGATTCTTTAACTGTTGACCCCACACCTCTTGCCAACACCCGAGCATTCACTTCTATTACAACCCCATCTGTAAATATATTGAACAACCATGGTGACATCACACATCCTTGTCTAAGGCCTACTTTTACTGGGAAATAATCTCCCTCACTCCTACATACTCTAGTTATTCTTTCACATATTTTCATGTTTGGTGCAATAATGTACTGTATACTGTATATACAGTATCAAGTAATTTACTGTTAGTAATTGCAATTTCAAGTAATTAAACCTTTTTTGTAGTTATGAGAGCAGAGTTATGCTTGTGGTGTCAGGTCCTTGTGTAAATCTTTTTATAAATTTACAATTGTTGTACCTCCTGTTACCTCCTCTTTCAATTTATTCCATTCTGGATATACAGAATATGGTGTGAGGAGGGAGGGTGAATTGTGTGTGAGTATAATAAGCCAAAGAAAGTTAAGAAGAGACAGGGTGTCACCTTCTTGTACTCCTATCTTCATTCCCATGGTCACCAAAATGGTGCATCCTCCCCAAGCTCTCTGGCAATGCAGTCATCCCATCTTTCCCTACTTGCTAACTACTGACTTGGATAAACTGTGCTAACAAACATAACACTGTAAATATTAAACTTAGTCTTTTACCAGTCTATACTTAACTAATGTGAACTCTCCACATGTACATAAACTGAACATGTGCAAACTGTCATTGTATTTGATAAAGTAACTCATTGTGAATAAGTGGTTATGGTTGATTGTATTTTGCTGGAAATAATAATAATTGGTGATAGTGTCTACATATCCAGATTTTTTTTTTTTTTTCAACAAGTCGGCTGTCTCCCACCGAGGCAGGGTGACCCAAAAAAGAAAGAAAATCCCCAAAAAGAAAATACTTTCATCATCATTCAACACTTTCACCAAACTCACACATTGTCACTGTTTTTGCAGAGGTGCTCAGAATACAACAGTTTAGAAGCATATACGTATAAAGATACACAACATATCCCTCCAAACTGCCAATATCCAGATATGTAAAGAAATAATTGAGTAGTAATACAATACAGTGAACCCCCACATTTCGGTGGCCGCGACTTTCGTGAAATCCGACTTTCGGCAACATTTTTCAGCAAAATATAGCCTTGCGGTTCGTGATTTGCCTCGTGATTCAGCGATCATCTGGTACGTGTCCAGCATCAGCGCGCACACAAAGCCAGTCTCCCGCACCATTCACACTCGGTATGCCATTATTTATCATCGAGTGACCATCCCACACATTCATACGATATACGTATTTTGTAATATTCCATTCTTTTTGTGCTTCCAGCTGCTAAATAAGTCACCATGGGCCCAAAGAAAACTAGTGCCAGCCCTTTGGTAAAGAAAGTGAGAAATACGATTGAATTAAAGAATGAAATCATTGAAAAATATGAAAGTGGAGTGCGTGTTTCAGAGCTTGCCAGGATGTATGGCAAACCCCATTCAACCATCACTTTGATCGTGGCAAAGGGAAAGGAAATCAAGGAAGCTGTTGTTGCAAAAGGGGTAGATATGCTGACAAAAAAGAGATGGCAAATCCTCGAAGAAGTGGAGAGGTTTTTGTTGGTGTGGATTACCCAAAAGCAATTAGCAGGAGATAGTGTTATGCAGTCGATAATTTGTGAAAGGCAAGGCAGTTGCATGACGATCTTGTAAAGAAAATGCCTACAATGAGTGCTGTTTGTGATTTTAAGGCCAGCAAAGGCTGGTTTGAGAGATATAAGAAGTGTGGCAAGGCATGGCGAGGCTGTGAGTGTTGACAAAAGCGACTGAAAAATATGTTCAGGAATTCAAGGGGTACATAGAGACTGAACAATTCAAACCCCAACAAGTGTTCAATTGTGATGAAAAAGGCTAATTTATGTGTGATGTGGAAGGCTAACAGTAAGGCATGGGTCATGAGGGACATTTTCCTTGATTGGCTCAATGAAGTATTTGGCCCCAGTGTGAAGAAATACCTCCTGGAAAATAAATTGGAACTCAAGTGCCTCCTGTTAATGGACAATGCTCCTGCTCATCCTCCAGACTTGGAAGAGCAAATGGTGCAGGAATTTCACTTTATCACAGTGAAGTTCTTGCCTCCTAATACCACTCCTCTCCTCCAGCCCATGGACCAGCAAGTCATTTCAGACTTAAAAAAACTGTACACCAAAGCAGTGTTTCAAAAGTGCTTTGAAGTGATCTCAGACACTGAATTGACCCTAAGAAAGTTCTGGAAAGATCACTTCAATATCTTCCATTGCATAAACCTTATAGGTAAGGCTTGGGAGGGAGTGACTTCCAGGACTTTGAACTCTGCTTGGAGAAAATTGTGGCTCAATGTGTACAAGACAGGGATTTTGAAGGGTTTGGGGCTAACCCTGAGGAGCCTATGCCAGTTGTGGAAAGTATTGTGGTATTGGGGAATTCCATGGGGTTGGATGTGAATTTTGAGTGCTATTTGGAAGAGATGGTGGAGGACCATGATGAAGATCTAACCACTACAGAGCTGCAAGACCTTCATCTGCAACAGCAACAGACCACAGCTCAAGAAATTACTTTAGAGGAGGA